GATGCATGGTGATGATGATGCATGGTGATGATGATGCATGGTGATGAAGATGCATGGTGATGAAGATGCATGGTGATGATGATGCATAGCGATGAAGATGCATGGTGATGATCGATGATGATGAAGATATGCATGGTGATAAAGATGTATGGTGATGATCGCTGATGGCGGTGATGCATGGTGATGAAGATGCATGGTGATGATGATGCGTGGTGATGAAGATGCATGGTGATGAAGATGCATGGTGATGATGATGCGTGGTGATGAAGATGCATGGTGATGAAGATGCATGGTGATGATGATGCATGGTGATGATGATGCAGGGTGATAATGATGCATAGTGATGATCGATGATGATGATGATCGACACTGATCATGATGTTAATGGTGATGACACTGATCACGATGATGGTGATGACACTGATCACGATGATGGTGATGACACTGATCACGATGATGGTGATGACACTGATCACGTTGATGGTGATGACACTGATCATGATGATGATGGTGATGACACAGATCACGATGATGGTGGTGATGACACTGATGATGTTATAATCGTTATTCTCCACATGCAGGTTCTTCTTCGTGATGCTAAGGGAGCCATACAAGACTTTCACAAGGCTGGTGAGTATATAATGACTAACAGTACATCCCGGTACATGCACGTTGATGCTCATATTCCTTTTATCTTTGATCAGTGGACTTGAACCCGTACGCGGCGCACGTGTATTTTAACAGAGGAAACTTGTATTCATCCTTAAGGAAGTACAAGGAGGCTGAAGAGGACTATACCAGAGGTACATACATACATAATTTGCTCTCCATCCAATTAAATACCCGAAACACGGCATGAACACGGCGTGGCACGTCACGCCAAAGTCACGGTACTGCCAGACCAATCACATTGCGCGAGAAAAAATTATCCAATCAAAATTCTAGAAAACATCACGGTTGCGGCAAGGTACGCTTACGGCACTGGTCTTTTCATAGTCACATAAAAACGTCTGTGGTCTAGCGTCACTGTGCGTCACTGCCCGGCTACAGATGCTTAATGCAATGCGCATCGACTGCGCAGCACGTGATGCATGGTGGGACAAAGTTGGAACGCTAGTAGAAGATAGTAATGTATACTATGATACTGTCGTACTGATAGTATTTATCATTATACAGCGCTCAGTCTACGTCCTGGTGATGCTCTGGTTTACAAGAAACGCGCTGATGTCTTGGGAAAGATGTCGAAGAAGAACGAAGCAATAGAAGACTACAAGAAAGCCATCATCATTAAAACACGCGCTGCAACTGTAAGAAAAGGGTAACTGTCATTTTGACAACCATCTGATAAATCACGTGTTTATTACATTTATTTATGACGTCACTTTTTATATTTGTGAATAACAAAACGAGTTTGACGAAATTTTAAGAGTTTTTTATTTATTTCCATGTTGGTTTAAAAATCAATAAATATTGATTATTATTGACATTTCAATAGTACTAGAATCTATCTTCATGATGGCAGGTACCTCATCTTTGTTCTCGTGTCTCGTGATCCGCTTGTCTTAGTCATACAGACTGTAGGGCCCAGGGATCCGAGTACGAATTATTTGCCTATCTACCAAGCGTTTAATCCACTGTCTTCTTTCACAGTTAGTCTATTTTAGCGTTACATTTATCTCCAGTACAGCAGCAGAACTGCAAACCATGTTTGTTAGTGATTGGCTTCGTGCTACATTTGAAATCAAGAGGACAAAACAACAGGTTTTGTAACCAGCAGCCTTTGCGAAGAACCTGATACAAACAACACAGAAGTCTCGTCATATTAATATAGGTTGATATGGTAAAAATATGCAAAAACACTAAACCCTGATTATTGTTTATAATTATGTGTTTTGAGAGATTTTTCCTTTTGGAAAATCTGAAATCGTGTACACGAATAGATTGGACTGGACATCGGTTCACTGGATTTTGGATCAAATTTTTTTTCTTCATATTTTCAACTTTTGAAAGGGTGTGGATAATCTTAATGTATAGCAAAAACATGCCCAACGTCAAAAACTTGTTTTCCTCTTCTAAATGCCCGAATTTTGAGAGTTTTTTATTTTGGAAAATCAGGAACCGTACATGGATGGAATGGACTGGACTTCGGTTGGCTGGATCGTACGGATCGTAGACGTTTTTTTACCCCGAATTTGCAGCATTTATTCTATGATTTCTATTCCAATATTGATAACTAGTAATTTTATTCGGAAATTTTATTTTAAAAATCAAGTTTTGAAAAAAGTTCATGATTCGAAAACATATTGGATCATATTAGCCTTGGATCAGAAAATTTTGCTTGCCTTCTAGCTGTCCACCAGCATTCAAACACTTGTATTATTGAGACTTTGATGTAACTTGTATGGGATTATAGACTGATGCATATGATACAGTGCTAGGATGATTACTATGGTACCGTAATGCAATAGGTATAATATGATCATTACCTTCACGCCATTAGGTGTATCACTGTAAAGAGCAAAGCAGTGCGATATCTTTCCTTGGTGTACTGCACACTTCTGTAGGCGAGGACAGTTGTAGCCACACTCAGGATTATAATACTCACACACATGACTTGTTAACACTTTACACTCTGAAATTTAAAAGCACACTGTTACCTTACATACAGCTAGGTATGACTTGCAGCCAATGTCTTTGATTGTACTTCGAAAAAGGAATCCAAAGACAGTGTGACAGATCGCCTCTATATTTTCATAGGAGAACCCTCCCCTCTCTCCCTGTTTTGGGACTGTTGTTACTGTTGTTAACAGTGATATTACTAGCTTGAACACGTTACCTGTTTTATGGAGAAGAAATGCAAGAAAAATGACACTTGTGAAATATAACGCCTTCATCTTCGTAGATAGAACAGCTGAAACTAGAACCACGCAAAAAGTATTGCAAATGATCTACACACCTAAGTCACTATCAGTAGCTACGTGTGAGAAGAGCTGTGAGGGTTATAAGGTATTCCCAGTAACGTGTGAGTAGAGCTGTGAGTCATGCTATGAGCCTGCTTAATCAGTACGTGTGTATATGTATAGCGAGATATTCTGTTCGTTAGTATTTTAGTAGCAAGACAGCAGCTGTATCTTGGCTAAACTGCCTAGATGGTTTTATTGAAGTCTTTATTAGGTCTCTTGAAGCAACACCCCCATATTTCCTAGTGGCTTGTCTAAAAGCTTGGTGAGTGGGTTCTTATAACCTTTAGTCTTGGTCATTATCTCCAGACACTGTAATCTCTAAGCTATATGCTGTTAATGTTTGAACTAGACGTAAAACCCGACAGAAAAAATCGTTTAGTTTATCCGGCCCTTCTTTTTTGCTTTTTTGAGGATCTACGATCCGGTGCTCTCTATACACTATTATTATACGTGGCGCAATGTGTTTGCAATAGTTCAGTACCTAGCAGACGCAGCGACTGTGCTGTCAGTAGGAGTATTATGAGTGATTCAACAAATAATGGAAAATAACGTTTGTTTTGTCAAATCTTTCCTTTTGTTTCCAGTTGTAAGCTAGGACAGTTTCCTGTTAAAGTGACACAAAACCTCGAGTACTGTAGTTATTTTTATAACCTATAGGATACGTTCCATGAATTGCCAATCTCCTGTTTGCCCAAAATGATTCTTGATTTACTGTACTAATTACTTGTAGCCTAGCTGTGAGCGCGGAAAACACTATCCTAATATTGATTATCAGTTCCTAATAAGAACCACATATTTTCTGTTCAATTTTAATAATCTTCTTAGCAATTTATACGATTATTAGATTTTCCCTGAACTCTGTTTTTTACAATTTACTCCGACTCAGTTAATCACATATTTAACTTTCTCCCTCTCTCTCTTCTTTCTCTCTCTTCTTTCTCTCTGTCTCTCTCTCT